AAAGTACTTGAAACACTTCAAAACAACAATCTAACGATCAACAAAAACAAGTGCGTATTTTCTGTTTCAAAAATCAAATTCTTTGGTTATGTATTTTCGAACGAAGGAGTACATCCAGATCCAAGCAAAGTGAGTAGCATCGTTAACCTCAAAAGACCCGAAAGTCCAGCAGAAGTAAGATCCTTCTTAGGAATGATTGGATATGTTGGTAAATTCTTACCAAAGTTATCAGAAAACAGTCAAATACTGAGAGAGTTAACACTCAAAAATGCATCATTCAATTGGACAGAGCAACACGAAAAAGTTTTCAACAGTCTAAAACAACAACTGAGCGACACTAATAACTTGGCATATTTTGACATAAACAAGAAAACACATGTGTATGTAGATGGAGGACCAAATGGCATCGGTTCTATACTAGCCCAAGAGGACAAACAAGGTAACATCAAAGTAGTTGCTTATGCTAGCACTACTCTCACACCAGTACAAAGAAGATATAGCCAATTCGAGAAAGAAACACTAAGCTGTACGTGGTCAATACAACATTTTCATAACTACCTGTATGGATCAAACTTCATGTTACATTGCGACAACCTTCCACTGGTCAAGATTCTACAAAACGCCAGAACACCACCCAACGCCAGAGTAGAAAGGCTTCTTCTAAGGATCCAGCCCTACAAATTCAAAGTTGTTCACCAAGAAGGTATATCGAATCCATCAGATTATTTATCGAGACACCCGCTGCAAACAAACATACAAAATTCGAAGCAAGACAAAATTGAACAATATGTTAATTTATGTATCAAAAATGCCTTACCAAACGCGTTAACACTAAGTGAAGTTATAGAAGCAACAAGAAAAGACAAGACATTCCAGATTTTGATTGAAGCAATAGCGAATGAAAATCATAAGTATTGGAAACTACCAGAACTAATACCATTCTCCAAACTTAAAAATGAGTTGATTTACAGCAACAGTATCATTTTAAGAGATCATAGAATACTTTTACCAAAGGAACTGCAACAAAGAGCAATTGAACTAGCTCACAAAGGTCATTTAGGCGTCACCAAAACAAAACAACTACTTAGAACCAAAGTTTGGTTTCCCAACCTAGACAGCTTAACGGAAACACACATAAAATCATGCATTCCATGTCAAGCAGTAACCAAGAATGACAACAGAGACCCGATTAGATCAACACCGCTACCAGATTATCCATTTCAATGTATTGATGTAGATTTTGCAGGACCATTCCACAACAAGTATGTATTCATAGCCGTCGATGAATACTCCCGATACCCAATCATCGAAGTGGTAAATTCAACATCGTTTTCACACCTCAAACCAGTTTTAGACAACATTTTCGCAACTTGGGGTTTTCCCACAACTTTCAAATCGGACAACGGACCACCGTTCAATGGACATGAGCTTAGTAATTTGTTAGAAAGCCATGGGATCAAGCATGCGCGAGTAACCCCAATTTGGCCAGAAGCAAATGGTATGGCCGAGAGATTTGTAAAGGCTGTGAAGAAATCATTATTATGTTCACATCTTGAAACTGGTCATTTCGACAGAGAAATTCAAGAGTTTTTAATCAATTACAGAAGCACCCCGCATTCTACAACAGAAAAGTCTCCGTTTGAAACAATTTTCGGAAGAAAAATGAATAATTTTCTACCATCCTTTCAACACGTTGAAGTCATAAATGATGAAAATCTAAGAAAAACGGATGAGAAAAACAAACGTAAGCAGAAAGCATATGCCGACGAAAAACGAAGAACGAAACATCATGAATTTCAGATTGGTGATTTTGTTCTATGCAAACAAAGAAAAAAGAACATTCTAACACCATTATTCTATGATCCGAAACCTTTTCAAATCACGAAAATTAGAGGTTCTGCTATTGAAGCTAAAAGAGAAGGAAAAGTAATACTCAGAAACTCATCCTTTTTCAAAAAGTTTAATTTTCCACATAACAAAGTAAAACAGCAAATTGGACATTCAGAAAAACAGCAACAGGACAACAAGAAAAAAGTAACGGAGAAAACTGTCATCCGATGGAAATTCAGTGAAAATCCCGTACCTGATGAGCCACATATCAGTACTGAAGTTCCAGAAGAAGACGACGATCCAATCCAGGACGTAAGAAATCTTTTTAAAGATTCCTTGAACGATATTGAAGTCATCATCGAGAACGACCCAAGCCCAACGTCAGGAGATGAAGACGACGACCCAATCCAAGACGTGAGAAACCTATTTAAAGACTCTTTAAACGATATTGAAATTGTTATTGATAACAAATCAAGCCCAACTACAGAGGAAAAGGAACTAGTTGAGTCATGTGCGGTATGCACCAATGTAGAGTTTCTCAAACCAAAAAGGGAGTGCAAGAAGCCAAATAAGTATAGTGATTTTATTTGCGACTGAATGCACATTTCTTATTTTAAGTTTAAGTTTTTCAGTTTTTATCTAGCATATTTAAGTCAAAATTATTAGAGTTGCCATATCGTTACGTTTTGTTAAGAGTAGTAATTTTATATTTTTTTTGTATTTTCGAAAATGTTCTATTATGGTTCTAACGCCACTTTTTATTTAAAGTAGAGGGAGATTATAGTATTCTGCTAAAATTGTATCAAGAGATTATTATGTTCTGTGGAGTTAGACTGACAGGTTGTCAAGGGTGACATACTTGAGATGTGAACGAGTTAAGTGAAGCGTTACAACAAATAAACGATAAAACTTACTTTATAGTTTTATTAAACAAATAGCGCTATAACATAGTAAATTTAAATAAACAAACACAACAAATACAACAACATTCGGAAAAAGAGAAGAAGAATTGTTAAATAAAATTCAAAAAAGTACTTATGTACTTTTCCGTACGTACAGAAATAGCGTAATAGATGAATCTTCATTGTAATAGATCTATTACGATTGTAATAGCACTGGCAACACTGCTCGTATTTGTAAGAAGCTTCAGTTCGCTGTCGTAAATTATAAGGTCTAGAAACTGGAATGATGCGTAGTTTGCTAAAACAACCGGTAGGCGTCAATGTTGTAAAGGATATTTTTTGGATTCAACATTTAGATTGCTAGAGATTGTCACAATTTAGATGTTTACAGAGCTTATATTGAAGTAAACTATTCAACTATAGTTTCATCAACTAGATAACGCCAATAAAATTATTCGAGTTTCCAGAACTTGTAGTATACGATCGTGCTTTTGTTTATTAGCCATTTCTTTGCACCGTTTTCGTTTTAGGGATTTTTTTAACATATAAACAGATAATAGTACTAAATAGTACCTATTTTGTCTACGGTGTATGTACATATGACAATTCTCTACTCAATTTTCTCCACCTTTTACCTGTTATATCAATTGAGCCGATTGAGGGTTTGTGATTGGTCATCCCCACATAGGGTAATCCCAGATAAAGAGAGGAATATTTGGCAACGTCGCATTTTCCACAAATTCCACAGCACAGCGCTTTTTTACTTCTTTCTTCACTGGAAGTCTGAATCTGAACTCTCTGTATCTGTTCGAGTGCCTTACTAAATTAAAACGTAGTGAGAAATTAATTCATCGTGATTAGTTACTGTTTCAGTTGTGTTAATTGGTTCACCGGAAAAATAGCAAAGGTCTGTATAATTATTACATAAATTATAAGTTTATTTAGGTGTTAAATAGTTAAAATATCGATAAATATTGTTTTTATTAAATCGTTAATATCGTGGAAATGGCTTTATAAAACACAATTGTCTTTTATATACCGAAATAAATGATTATTTTAATTCACTTTAACTATAATTGGAAGACACTTCTGAACTATCCAAAGACTAAAAGAAGGAATTCAATTTTTTTATAATATGTTCGTTAGTAAATTCTCTCATAAAAAATGGCGACTCGGTAGGTAATTAAAAAAAAAACAAATATCGAGTCACGTACAGTTTTGCTTATAATGCAAACTAAACAGGAAGATGTATTTTTGCTTAATAAACTATTTCTTTATTTTCAACAATAAGTTGTATCGATTATTTCGTTTATTCAAGTTGATCGTTAAATATTCGGTGAAGCACCGGCAGACATGTTGCTTTTTTTTATTAGAAAATTCTATTTTTATTTTTTTTCCCAACACAAGCTTTTTCGCCACGTTTATGGTACGGTAAAATCATTTTGTAGCCGGTCTAGCATGCGGTCTACCGTAATTTTTGCGGTCTACCCATACATATTTCGTCGTCCAAGTAAATTTAAATACTTTGACAGGTGTCATATTTTGCAAAATTGATGTACTGGTTGTGAAACATGTCTCACAAAACTGCAAATATTAAATTTGTCCATTTAAACTTTTTTTTCTATTTCCAAACAGATTTATGTATAGTAAACATCGAAAGAAAAACTCAACCTCCATAATTCTGATTCCTCCGCAATTCTCAATAAATTGAATTACTTACTTGCTCTTCCAAACATAAATTATTATATACTCGTAATACAGGGTGTCCCAATGAAAAATATCCCCTTTAAATACAAAAATTAATGGGCTAATAATTTTTAAACGCCTAATCATAAAACTTGCGGTTTTCGAATATATATTTTAATTTGCTATAACTTTTTGTAGCAGTAACACAAAAATTTCGTATCGCCTGTACAGGGTGTTTCATAAAACTTGTAATAAAATAAAATATTTTTGAGAAAACCATTTTTGAGAAAACTTTTCATTGGGACACCCTGTACTAGTAAAATCTTTTCGTTTGTTTAATGAAGATACCTAGGTATATTTAAGTTTAAGTAAATACTGGTACTTCCCCAATTCTCTGTAAATTGAATTACCCACATGCTATTCTATAAATAATAACAATAACATTTTTTTCTCTAGCTTAATTTAGGATCAATTTTCAAAATCTTGCTGTTGTACTTTTGTATAAAAGAAAATTGGGTAGACCGCTCCCTCATTTTTTTACTCTTATTACATCTATTCTTTATATTTTATAGAACTTTTATTATGCCTGTTGAGATAAGCTTCGGAATACTTACTGGTAAGTAGGCAACTCATTTTACATTTCATCGATTCAAATTGACTCTCCATTACAGTCAGCGACAGCAGTTATGCGGGTAAAGGCAATGATTCATCAAGTCCTGAATTAAAAGAAGAAATATTAAAGGAGTTTCCATCTGCCGAAATAAGCGCAATAAAAATCGTACCAGACGATTTGCAGGAAATTAAATCGACTCTTACAGAATGGTTCGACTTGAAAATCAACGTAATATTCACAACAGGCAATCTACCAGACATGATCTTTGCTATGATTATCAGTAGCTTGAAGATCAATCCAATGGCGATGCTCTCCAGACCCTTGAGCTATATTAAAGACAACACGATGATAGTAAATCTGCCGGGAAGCCCCGAAATGATTTCGGAATGCTTCGGTATCATCAAGGAAGCCTTACCCCGCGCTTTGGAGCTCCTAACACAACAAAAAAAATCTGTGGTTTCTGGTCACGAAGCCATGCAAAGCGACTCAGGAGCATCCGTTGTCCCAACCACCAGCCCTAGTAAGGTAATTTATAAAATTAACAGCTTCGATATCAGCGAAAGTACTATTACTCAATTCGAATTTGTCTTTATTTTCGTAGGTGAAACTGGCTTCATTAAGAAAATACCGCTACCCTATTATCGATGTTGAATATGCTTCTGCTATTCTGCTTCTGCGGTTAATTATTAAGAATATTTGTTTTGATAAAGAGGAAATCACAGAAACGGTGCCTTTGGAGAGATCGCTTAATCGAATTGTAGCAGAAGATATTCATGCTGAAGAATCGATTCCTTCATTTGCAACTTCGATTATAGATGGTTACGCTGTTAAAAAGAGCGATGGCAAAGGAATACGTGTTGTAAAGAATGTCACAACTGCAGAAGATAAGGTATGTAGATACATTTACAAGATTTCTAAAGAATGAGCTCATTAGAATTGTAATAAATGGAGTTTCTAATGTTGCAGTCAATCGATAAGGTTCTGCAGTCAGGCGAAGCGAAAACAATATCGATGGGAGATCCAATTCCTGCGGAAGCAGACGCAGTGGTACCATTGGAAGATACATCAGTTGTTGAATATTCGATTGATGGTTCTGAAGTAATTAAGGTTGAAATCAAAAGAGCACCCAACTATAATGAAAACATAAGGTGAGGGAACATTTTTAATACAATTGTGGCATATTTAGTAATTTTTTTAGAATAATCGGAAGCGACGTATCGAAGAATTCTTTGGTTTTAAAAAAAGGCGAACGTATCAAACATTTCTCTCTTGGAGTTTTAGCCATGTTAGGAAAAACAAATATTTTGGTTTATAAGTAAGTTGAAATATTCAGTTTCCTAAAAGTTCCCTCCTTTACTGTAATACATTTTTTTCTAGACGCCCTTCTATAGGAGTCATATCAATTGGCAATTATAATTGTGAACCTAAAGAAAAACTAGCCCCTGGCAAAATCAGAGATGCAAATAGATTCACCTTAATTAATTTGCTTAAAAATTACCGTTATAAATCAAACGATTGTGGTATAGCTAAAGACAAGTAATAATTAATCCTGATGTATTTGATCCTTTTTTAATACAATAATTTTTAGTCCTGATGCAATAAAGCAAGCTCTTGAACAAAGTTTTACTCGTAACGATGTTATTATAACGAACAGTTCAATGGGAGAAGTGGACATGTTGAAACGGGTCCTCGTTGAGGATTTTCAAGCTACTATACATTTTTCCAGAGTAAACATGAAACCCGGGTAAGTCAAAGTTTCGTAATTTGAAAGATTTCAATGATTCAATGATTATCATTGTATTATAGAAAATACACGACCTTTGCGACACTTATGTATAATGAAACATGGAAAATGGTGTTTGGCATAACGGGTAATCCATTTTCCTGTGCAATTACTTGTGTATTATTCGTTATTCCTGCTCTACGCTTAATGGAAAAATCTCTCTACGAACGTTTTGTACCTATTTCTGTGCCACCAAATTCATTTAATATAGTAAGTAAAAATTTTGTTAACAGTGAAATAATTATATTCGAAATACGTTTTGTTTAAAATAACTAAGCTCCACTTTTTCTTAAAAACTTTATTTCTTTAATACAATCCGTTCGCTATCAGGAGATACTAATAAAACCTAAATTTGCAAATAATATGAAAAGTAGGTAATTAATATGGAAAATACATCAGGAGCGATTTAATGAAAAAAAATCATAAAATTCCAAAACGTTACAGCTTTTAACATTGTATAATAGTTATGTTTATTTTACTTTATTAGTTCTCTCAGTATACAGGGTATTACCTGTTACTAGGTTGTATTTATTTGTTAGTGTCCCTATAATTTACTGTTTTATTATTTTTTTACTATTTCTTGATAGAAAACAGAGTATAAAATATAATATTACAATAAATTTCATTTTTTAGCGTTCGTTACCATATAATAATGATGATTGTCTAGAGTATCGACTAGTTAAAGTAAATAGGACTTTGACAACTGCAAAGGAAGTACCAAGCGTATTAAGTAATTTAGATAAAGCAAACGGTTTACTTATAATTGAGCCAAATAAAGATTACTCAATTAAAGATTCAAAAGGAGACTATCGCAATCTTTACAATGTAATATTATTTAATGAGAATTATTATCAGTGAAATGGGCTGTATTATTAAATACAATTTCTGTTTTTTTTTAATTCATTTTAAAATAATACCAATTAATACGTTCTTTTGATCAGTTAACAGTTCTTTTAATTTTTTCAGTTTCAGTTTATAATAAAATATTTAATTGGTATTTTTGCTTTATTTAACCCTTATTGAAAGATTGTTTGTTGTGTTCTGTAAATACGAGCCCAGTCGCATATGAATTGGATCAAAACAAATATTCTACACAATATTATTTTCCCGTGTAAACAGTTATTTTATATTAATATCAAATAGTTAGATAGTATCCGATCAATTAGTAGTAGCAAAATTACTATTAACTCTACTTGTGTAGAATATTTGTTTTGGTGAATATTATATTTTTTACGAGAGTATTATGTTGACTAAGTTCATATAAAAATTGATCCACAAACGCTTCATTACCGATCTACCAAAATTTCAAATTTTATTTTGATATTTTTTGAGCTCCTGCAGTTTTTGAGATATTATCCAATTGTTCTTCACAAATGGCTTTTAAACGTTTTTTAAACTGCTTCAGAATTGCTCTTCTAAAACCGGTTCTAAATCGCTCTAAAATTGTTTTATAACCGCTCTAATTGCTTGCTCTTCTAAGCCCTCCAAAGATTTTGTAGAAGATCCTTTGTCCCCTATAAACATCCCAATTTTGTAAGATTCTCTCTTGCTTGGATTAACAATCCTTTTACAATTCAATCATACTATTTCAATTTTTACACAATATGACATCCGTCATATCGTGCTTGTGATAGTGCTTGGAAGTTCTAAAATAGTAATATTTTAATTAATAATTACACTTTTACAACAGACATTTCTCGACAATTAAAAACAGAAAATCGCTTACATTTGCTGATATCAGCATTTCCTGTGCATTCGGAAACTGAACGTACTGGGGAATCAAATTTGCCAACGAATCCACAATGATTTTAAATACTCCATGGGCAGTGCTTCTTGCGAGTCCAAATCTATCTCCTGCAGCTAAGAAACACTGCGGTTTCCGATGGTCCATAGAGAAAATATTTTTTTTATCAAAGTCAATATTGTCCCTATTGTGAGCAATATTGTTTCCCAGCATGTTGCGTAGGTTCTGAAATTTTATTAATGATCAACAGATTTAATATTTTGTGATTGAGAAACATACCTGAAAGGCTCCTCTAATCATTCGAAAATGTTCTTTGAAAAGATCATCTGAGAATCTTGGGACGGTCACTTTAAGGAAATCATCATTCATAGGTTTCCTTACTCGTGGATGTCCTTCTAGGATTATCATTTCCAATTGGTTCATCGAGACCCAATATCAATGCATTCAAAACATCCATATTATCGTCATCGTCATCATCATCATGCGCCAAGGCTATAATATTTGCAAGAATATTATTTTCACCTTCAGCCATTATTAATATCTCAATTATAGCAGGATAAGGATTAAACAGTATAATAACAAAACATTTTATATTTATTTCACCTTCAACCTTTGATAGATGAGGAAATAGAGGAGGGGGATGAGGAAGAAGGTACTTTGGAGATTGTAAAATGGTAGAAAATGATTTAGGTTTGGGAATAGGAGCTTTGGAAATGGTTTTTTTTTTGGTCATTTTGTTGAAAATTATCTATTAGTTTTTTCTAGGGTATTGTGGGTCTATTAGGAAACTTTCTGTTGAATAAATCTATTCCAAATCTATTCTAAAAAGTTCTAAATTATTCTAAACAGTTCTTAATGTTTCTGGAGCATTCTAAATTGTTCCAGACGGTTCTAATTCATTCGCTACAGTTCTAAATAATTATAGACATTTCTAAATGATTCTGGGTTGTTGTAAATGATTCTAAAAAGTTCTAAATTATTCTAAACAGTTCTTAATCTTTCTGGGGCATTATAAATTGTTCTAGGCGGTTCTAAATCATTCTTTACAGTTCTAAATGATTCTAAAGAGTTCTTAATGATTCTGGCGTGAGCAAAAACCTTCATTACTTATAAAAATTGTTTTTAAAAAATTTAATTCTTCACTAAAGACTATAAAAGTTTCAATGTACTATTTTTATGATAATTATTTTAACTATTTGAAATCCATTCATAACCATTTCTACCTCGAAAAAATACAATCTAAGAACTGATATGAACTGAACAAAAGTGTTCTTACAAAGTTAACAAGAATTTGGTCCAGGACAATTTAGAGTGCTTCTGGATGCATTAAAACTAGTTCAGAACAATTTAGAGTACTTCAGGATCAGAACTATTATTGCATTAGAACTATTTAGAACTTAAATTTAATCGAAATTCATGCATTAATATTTAGAAAAACAAATGTCGCTACAAGTTTAAAAAAATCTATTTGAACTCGAGTGGATGAATAAATATTATTTTGATAATATTCGTTAACTCCCTAGAAGACATTGAGGGGGCCTCACCCGCAAAAGAGCACTCCTAAAATCCCTCCTAACCCAACATCAACCCTCTTTCCTATTCCTAATCGACACCCTCACTCGTCTCCCCCTCCACATTCACAGGTTATCAAATTTTCCACACCCCTAAAAACAATTCCTGCCGGGGTAACGCTATCCTAGTGAGACACGGAATCCCGCCTCTCGATAACCTGGACTGCTTAGCAATTGACATCTGACAAACTAATACCATTACCACCGTTATTTCCACATATTTAAACCACATAACCCAAAACCTACCCCCTCTTCAACCCCCCACCACCCCACTCGAAATCGAAACCTTTACCCAGAACCTACATTCCCTAATCTCAGATGCCTGGCATATTTTTACCCCTCTTACCACACTTAACACCGCCGCCCATCCCCTACCCCCTCACATCCTATCTCTTATTCGACAAAAACGTCGTATCTAACAGTGGCTCGATCTCACACGTGGACTTGATTACCTTGATAACTGGACAAAAATCCAAGACCCACTCCCATCTCCTCATCAATGGCCAATTTCTCGTCACCAATGAACAGAAAGCAGACGCTTTTAAAACCCACCTCCAAGAAACTTTTTCTCCTCAAAACAACCCCAATTTCAATCGAAATTTTTTCACTAAAACCGAAATTTTTGTCCGAAACCTTTTAAACCCTCTACGCCCCAACCCCCCTCCCCTAACCTAACCTTTCTCCGTTGTCGGAATTTCCGAACGCTGCAAATTCGGAAAAAATTCCACCCCTGGCCCCGACTCAATATCCCGTCGCTCCCTAAAAAACCACCCCGATTCCATAATGCCTAACTACCCTTATGAACGCCTGCCTCCACCTTTCCTACTTCCCCACCCTCTGGAAATCCTCCAACACCATACTTATCCGGAAACCCGGAAAGGACCCCACCACCCCTAATTCCTACAGACCCATCGCCCTCCTAAATGTCCTGTGGACACTCTTTGAGCGCCTGCTTAAGAAGCGTTTCTGGGAATTCCTGGACTCCCAAAGCATTATTCCTCCTTTTCAAAACGGTTTTCAAACCCATCACAGCACCCAAAACTCCCTCCTAAATGTCTAAACCCAAATCACCCGCTCACCTTAATCAAGGGTATGTCGCTTCCGCCATCCTCCTTGACGTCCAAAAAGCTTTCGACCAAGTCTGTCATTCTGGACTTGTTAGAAAACTCTCCCAAATAAATCTCCTCCTCCCCATCATCAAATTACTCCATTCCTACCTCCACAACCCCACTATAAGGGTAAAAGTGGGCAACCACATTACCGACCCCTTTCGCCCCTTCACCGGAGGCCCCCAAGGATCCATCCTTGTCCCCCCCTCCTATACCTTATTTACACCTACGAAGTTCCCCCTCCTCACTCCCCTAACCACCACATTCAATTCTACGCTGACGACACCATCCTGTTTACCACCTCCAAAAGAACAGAATCCCTCACACAAAAGGCCCAAAAACAACTCAACCTATTTTCCTCCTGTGGCGAAAAATGGCGAATCTCCTTAAATCCTAATAAAACCCAAACAATCCTTTTTACTCAACTCAATTTAACCCTTAACCGTCATGCAAATCCTAGGTTCTTCCGATTAAGGCTTTGGGGCGATTAGCTAACTGTTAAGACACCCTTAACAGGGTGTCACAGCGAGCCGGTCTCATCAAGGCTTTGAGGGGAAGAATAAGGAAATGCCACCCTAAAACACTCCTTCACACCTACAAAACCTTTATTCGCCCTATTTTCGATTATAAATCCATTGTCTATTCCACTCCCTTCCAAACCACCAAAGTTTCCGAATCCTTATCACCAAACGAAAAATCCTTAGACAAACCCAATACCTCGACATGTTTTTCCCTAGCGATCTAATTTACAACGAAATAAACATTCCTAATATTTTATCTCACTACAAAGCAGATATGCCTGCCGGACCATTCGAGGAACAAACGTCGCAGCACGAGAAGTCCTCTGAGCTGCACCACCACCGTGAAGGTTCAGAAAATCGCGCAGAAAACTTCCACAACCAAACGTCCGTATCCTCCAAGCCTGCGATCCCGACGAACTTCCCCAAGACCTACAAAACCTGCTGGACATCTTCCCTTTGAATATGCGCTAGTTTACCCTTCAATTTGTTAACCTCCAAAATAAAAACTCAAAAGAAAACAAAAAAAAAACAAAAAACCCCACTATAAAAAAATACCACTATTATCCTTCAATAAGTATTGTACAAGGCCAGGACATAGGTTTTTCTGAGGTTTCCCTATGCTCATTTCCAAATGGCTGGCCTTTAAACGGGAACAAAGCGGCCTCAGCCTGCTCCCATACATAAATTTGCCACATAAGTTGTACCACACCTACACCCCCTGACAAGGAAGTAAATTCCTATAACAGGGTTCACTAGAATAAAACAACACCCACATTT